GAAGAAATAATCTGCACAATCTCTTCAACATACGTGAAGCTGCTGCTATCAAGAACAAATCATCCACCTCTCATGTACAGTAGTATAGTGGAGCCAAAGAGCTGAGTCTTCTCGATTGGCAGGGAGGGTGGCATCATTTGCTAAAAATATTCACCTATGACGTATGGCAAGCACATGAATACTAACAAATGGCAACACCTATGAGAGTCAAAGGGACGTGGGTTAAACTGCAGAAGCCTCTGTGTTGCAAGGTCAGAAGACCAGCAGTCATAAGATCGAATCCACGCAATGGAGCGAGCTCCTGTCGTTTGTCCCAGCTCCTGCCAACCCAGCAGTCCAAAAGCATGTAAAAATGCAAGTAGATAAATAGGTACCACCTTTGTTGGAAGGTAACGGCATTCCATGTCTAGTTGCTCTGGCCACGTGACCACAGAAACTGTCTTCGGACAAACGCTGGCTCTATGGCTTGGAGACAGGGATGAGCACCACGCCCTGGAGTTGGACACGACTGAACTAAATGTCAAGGGGAACCTTTACCTTTACCTATGGGAGTCAATAAGAAGAAAGTGAATGAAGGATTTTTTTTCTGGGCGTGGGAATTGTTTCTTAAATACATGAAAGCACAATTGTAGAGCCATAGCTGCAGTATTTTATGCTATTGTTCTCCTTATAAAATGCTCTGTTGTTTCAAGATTCCTCTGGATCAGTCTGTCCTTCATGTCTCTTCCCTCTCATATCCTCATGCAAACGCTTTGAAGACAAAATTTCAGATCTGTCAACTTTGCAGATTGCTGTTATGGTAGAGTAGTTGTTGAAGGGTAAACAGTTTAAACATTCAGAAACAGTCTAAAACTGACTCTTCACTTGTCTTTTCTAAGCCATGTTCATTCAAATTTTTGTTCACCCATTTCACACTCTGTAAAGCACAAATTTTCAATTTGTCTCTTATATGGATTTGGAGATGTTTGCTTTGTTATCCTGACAGTATCTTTCAGCCCACAGATAACTGCAAAGCAAGTATCTGATGTTTTACTTCTCAAGCTCAAATGGCAGATGGAACACTCTCAGCATAGGGTTCGCTCTTTCTGGCTTTCACTTTTATTATGATTACTGTTGTGATTGTTACTACTGCTGTCACTGCTACCAACAACAATTACTATTACTATTACCATTACTATTACCATTACCATTACTACTACTACTACTACTACTACTACTACTACTACTACTACTACTACTACTACTACTACTACTACTACTACTACTACTACTACTACTAAACTGGGAATCGGATTAAATGTACACTACGTTATTTCTGTACTAAATCTCCAGGACTGAAACAGTATGTCAAGGCAAGCTCAGAATTCTGCCATATATCTTAATAGATATGTTAATAGAATTATGTTGTTTGCATGTTAATTTTTTTTCCCTTCAGCCCTAGTTCAGACACAGGTGAACATTGTACCTCTTTTCCACTGAATATGGATGCAAAGAACAAATCTAGTTTTTCTATCGTCTATTCCCCCTTTAGCACTCCCTGTCATCCAATCGTCCAATTGCCTCCTTAGCCAGTATCTTCAAGACCTCCTTCTTACTGTTCTTTATATCTTTTGTCATATGTTCCTCAGTGTGGGAGAGAGATGCCCCTCTTGTCTACTTCAATTTCTTTCACCCTTATCCATGTTATTTCCAAGCCCTAATCATAGAAGTACCCTAAGCATGTTTAACTAAGCATACTTAAAAGTTCTTCTTAAGACCTTTGCACTAAACATGCAAATGTCTATTTCACATTCAGATGGGGGCCACTGTGGTGTAGAACATACAGACATGTTTCCATCCACTCCCAGATTTCTTCAGCTGCTGGACGGGCATTTTGCGCCCTGGATCGGCGTGGCTGGCTTTTGCCCCAACGTCCCCGGATGAAGCGAGAACGTTTGGGGACACGTGGGCATGTTGGGAGGGGGAGCTCACCTATATATGGGAGCTCTCCCCAATGTTCGCCCTCTTTCCGTTGCGGCCACCTACCCACCCTATCTTATACATGGAAAAATACAGTATTTTGGATCAATACCTGAAGTACATATCCTCATATTTTCTTATTACAGCAATTTTGAGCTATCCCCAACCCTCCTTAAGTTCCCTTAATGTCAGAGGTGTTTTATCTTTTTAAGTAAAAAGTTACAATTTGGGACTCATTTGGAGACAGTGTCCCACTTAAATGTTTAATGAATATGAAGGCAGCCTGGTCATTTTTTGGGGGCAAAGTCAACTATGGCAAAAAATATAGACTTTCATAATAGGTTTAAACAAAAGTTTAAACCGTTCTTCAAAAATCACTAGAAACCAAATTCAAAATCATCCATTCTATGTGAAAGAAAGTGGAGAAAGACAGTGACAAAAAACAACTCATTTGAAATGTGGTGTTGGAGGGGAGCCTTATGGATGCTACAGATAGCCAGAAAGGTACAAAAGTGGGTGCTCAATCAAGTCAAAATGAGAACTCATTTTGACTTGATTGAAGTCAAACTAGAGCAAAAATGAGAAAACTGAGGCTATCGTATGGTGTACATATAATGAAACTATAGAACTGACCAGAAAATACAGTATTTTGGGGAAAATGGTGGAGAAGACTTAATATGAGGCAAATTATTTCAGTAAAGGAAATCACAGCTATTACTTTGCAGGATCTGAGCAGAATTTACTGGAAACGACAATATTGCTTGGAAGGTGGAGGGCAGTAGGAAGAGGAAACAACATAACATGAGATGCTGTTGGTTTGCAAGATCTGAGTAAAAATATGTTAATGGTATGATGTTTTAGAGACCGTTAATTCATATAGTCACCACACATCAGGAGTGATTTGATGGCACATAACAATTTTGGAGTTTTTCCCCCTAATATATATAAAATTTAAAAATTACTGCTTTAATCAGTGAGCTTCTAAAGATTTATTTTCTATTCTTTTAAAATATTTTTACAACCAGGCACAGAATCCCTTTCCTAGAGCCAATGCCTGCTTGGCTAGGAAGGAGTTAATAAGTTCTCCTCCTGAAAGTCAGCTCATTGAATCCTGACTGACCAGGTCAATTCACATTGCCCCAGACCTAGAGGTGATTCCTCTTCAAAGATTTGTGTCAGGAGTTTGGTCGCAGAAATCGAGATAATGTTTACTGAAAACATTCAGGGCTGCAACAAACCCAACTGTTCTGTCCTTTTGTAATACAGAAATACTCTGAATATGCTTTACAAAATTGTATGCTAATTCCTTGGAGATACATGGCAAAGTATTCCTTTCTGGAGGAGTCTAATACCATTACAGTGGTGTCTTGCTTGACGAGGATAATCCGGCCCAGCGAAATCGCTGTAGAGTAAAATCCTCGTCAAGCGAAATAAAAAAGCCCATTGAAACACATTGAAAACCATTCAATGCGTTCCAATGGGTGAAATACCTGCTTGTCCAGCGAAGATCCTCCATAGGGCGGCCATTTTCGGGTGCCTGTGCAGCGAAAAATGCCTCCTAAAAACAGCGGGGAGCCATTTTGAGCAGCCGGTGACCATTTTGAAAACCCGACAATCAGCTGTTTTGATCATCATAATGCGAAGAATTGGTTCCCGAAGCAGGGAGCAGATCATCAGGAAGTGAAAAAAGCTCATTAAAACATCGTTTTGCGGTTGCATTTGCGATCGCAAAAACATCGTCATGAAGCGGATTCATCGTCAAGCAGGGTAATCATTAAGCGGGGCACCACTGTATTTTATTTAAAGAAAGCCTGGTTTTGTTTGTTTATTTGTTTTTACCCTTTAAAGAAAATGTGTCTCTGAATCTGGCCTCATGACCTTTCATTGCCCTCCCAACATCTTCCTTTAAAAAACAAGTGGAACCAGTCATTCTCTTTCAATATAAGCAAGATTGGTCTTTTCAGTTTGCATGAGCTGTTTTAAATCTGGGAATGTTTAGGTCCACTTGTTTCAGCATGGGGTGGAGAGGGGGGAAAGAGAACTGTGTCATTTTAAAAATCATATTTTGAAAATCCTTTGCCCAAACATCCTCAAATTTGGTACCACACAAGCCTTTAACTTTAAAGTTAAATTTTTGGAGGGTTGACATCTTTTTTAGAATTGCCTTGCAGAATGTTGATTTGGTTTACTGGTCAATACCATAGCTGTGCCACCATGCAGATATAATGCATGTGAGGGGGAATGTGCTCAGTCTTTCTGTTTTTGTTGTACATAGATGAAGAGTAACAGTCTAAAGAGGAGAGCTTGTTTAATATGTCTCTGCTCTCCTTGTGTTTGAGAATTTTGATTTTGTAGAGATCCAGAAAGTGTGGAAAACCATGCACAGCAGAGGCTGTCCTCCTTAGATGATCACTGTCCATATGAGGAAAGTGATGACCAGGGAGGAGGAGGCCAGTGGGCTTCCGATCGAGCTCTGTTTTAAACACACCCATAAAGCAGTTGTTGTTCAGAATGGCTAGATACTGTCTTTTTTTGTTATGATGGGGATGTTCATGTAGGAGTGAAAATACAAAATTTAGGAATGGAAATACACCACCATCTCTGCAACGTTCCTGTGGGTTTCGATACCATCCTTGCACTCCCAGGCAAGAGCTGTGGGACCCTCGTATCATGAAATATAGAAGTAAATGCTGGTGCAGTATGGGGCTCTTATGGATACAGATATATTTATAGAAGTTATATTCTGATCCCTTATTTCACACATAGTGAGAAAAGAAAAGTTTTAAAAAGTGATTATACCTAAACATGAATATTCTTAGGGCAAATAGTTATTAGATTTCTTTATACATGTTCCTATTACCATCATTGTATCATCCTCCTATTGCCAAGGAGAAATGGTTTAATATTGGAAAAATAAGAACTTAAGGACAGTCTGCATGCTGTGAATCAAAGTTTTGTTAATTCTGTTTGCTACCAAATGAAATAGGTTGCATAGGCAAATAGAATCAAACAAATCAGAAGATACATGTAGTTATGTTTGCACTGTGTTTTGATTAACACTGGTTTATTTTATCTTATACAAAAGAAATCAGAAATAGTGACAAAACATGGTTTACCATAGAGGGAGGAGCCCTTGCTTTGGGCTCAGTGAGAATTTAGGCAAACAAAGACCTTACAGACTTTTTACAGACACAGTTAGGTTTTGAGAAAGGGAGATACAAGACATGTTACATTATATCCATGCAACAGGTAATGTACAAAATGGTGGTCCGATGAACATTCCAGAGGTTCCTTGCATCACTGTGATTCCAACTCATGGCTTTTGTTTACCCATGCCTTTACAAATAAGTGACACAGACACATATTATTAATTTTTGTATATGGTCTAGCTGCTACAAATTTAAGGCATCCTAAGAGTCTGTTATTCTGCTGGTGAAGGTTAAATTTTTCAAGTGGGAAGACTGCGAGATGCCATGAAATGTGAGTCAAAGGAAGAATTCTTGCAGCTCTGGTTCTTCAAAATAATTTTTGCTGTAATGCTGCTGGAGTTTCCTGTTGTTGGTATTATGCCTGACGAAGAAAAAACAAAAGCAAACCATGATCACATCACACATAACACTGATTATGTTTCACAGCTCAAAGACTGCCACTTTCTAAAAGTAACTTTAGCACACCCTCCTCATTAAAAAAATTGCAGGCAAGGAATTTGTATCCTTTGAAACAGCAATCACGCTACTAGTACTACAGCTGAATTTGAATCCTTTGTAAACAGGCCATTTATTATCATGTAAGAAAGTAAGCATGTAAGTAGGAGCTTTCTCTGCAGGCAGGCTTTCCTTTAAATGACTGCTTGACCAAAGGGATTTTTGAAGGGTTTATTGTATTCTGTTGTTTTACTTATGCTTTCAATATTGCACTTATTTATGAGTTTTAATATGGCATTTGTTTAATTCTCTTTAAATACTGTATAAAAATTTATTATTGGCTTTGTTTCTTTTAATACTGTAAGTCACCTTGGATTCTTAAGTTTAGGAGAAAAATGGCGTATAAACAAACAAACGAATAATGAATAAATAAATAAATTTCCTCTCTGTTCATCTTCCCTGTCTTACTTGTAAAGCATTGTGTATATATTGTAAGGTATCGTGGATCTGCAGAATAAGAAGAGATAAATGCACCTGTGTTTTGCTCATTTTCTCTTTTTGTTTCAATTTAATTTATTTTGTCCTATTTCTGCATTAGTTTCCAATTCCTAACATTTTCATATGCACTTGTTCCAATATATGCATTTTATGCAATTCTGCCCAATACATATTTCTGTAAACAATTTCCCCTAATGGTATACTTCCCTGTGCTGTTTCCATGAACAACTACATTTTATGTACACTTGCAGTAATATGCATTTCTCCTTATATTTTAAACAGGTAAACTGCATCACACACTTTGGACAATCATGGCTACCATTCTACTTATGTACAGAACTGACAAATATGGATAGGACATATTAAAACATGACCTTGAACAAATTTCTCGCCATTTCTAGTTACAAATATAATTTATTTCTACCAAAGTAGGTTAGAATCAAAGTATAAAGCTGATGTTAGTTAAAACAAATCTAGAGACCAAATTAGATTCCTGTTCCTGTAACACAGATGGCAAAATTAACAACCAAGTGGAATTAGCAGAACTTCCATTTCAGTATGAAAATAAAACTGAACAGGTGGAGAGTTTTTTAAAAATCATTTGTTGATAATGATATCTAAAATACTAGTAATGTGTAGCAATTTTCATAATTCTATCTCCTTATGTAGATAGGAAAAAATAAGGATTTGATTTCCATAGCACAATATGGAAGCCATAAAGATTAGACCATTCAAAACACAACCTTTCATGTACTATGTCACCTTGCTACAACTTGGAACTAAGGTATTGTTTATGTTTCCAAACATGAAAAAAAACCCGAAATTTCTTAGGCTTGCTTGAACTCCATTGTCTGTGAAATATTAGTAAGTCCTTCATGATGTATTTTGCAAATTAGGACCACAGAATAATTATAATCTTTGGATAGAAATTTGGTTTTGCTACAACTTGGAACTAAGGTATTGTTTGTTTCCAAACAGGGGAAAAAAAAACACAAAATTTCTTAGGCTTGCTTGAACTCCACTGTCTGTGAAATATTAGTAAATCCTTCATGATGTATTTTGCAAATTAGGACCACAGAATAATTATAAACTTTGGATAGAAATTTGGTTTGATCAGCTGTCTGCTGTATTAGATGACTCCTCTCTCTCTCTCTCTCTCTCTCTCTCTGTGTGCGCGCGCGTGCATGCACACGTGCGTATGTTTTCTGCCATCAAGTTGAAACTGACATATAACAATCCTAATATGGCTTTCAAGGTAATTTAAGGAGTTGTTTTATCGTTTGTACTCCCCCAGTAAGTTTTCATGGCAAAGTGCGGATTCAAACCCTGCTCTCCAGAGTCCTGATCCATCACTCTATCCACTACACCACACTGGGAATCCCAGATGGTTCATATCATATGCTTATTTATATACTACTTTGGCAACACTCGGTTGAAAGTAACACAATGACATAATGAATCAGAGCAATACCATACCACCTTCAGCAGGGTTGTCTATTCTCAATGAAATGCACATATTCTCTGATTAATGTAAATAGATTAGTATGGTAAAAAGGCGCAAATAGCAGTTCTTGAATGGTAGCTATGCTAATTGCTTTGTATATTAAACAGAAAACGAGATTAAGCTGCTTGCATATGGGAGTTGCTTTCATTCTTTGAAGACATTCTGCTATGGAAATTATCTTCCATAGTAGTTCTCAGCCTAAGAAGCAGCTCACATTCTTTTCACTGCCCCCAGCAGCCCTACCAGGGCTTGATTATCTGTATTTTTAAACCACACCTGCCAGGGTCTTCATCTTGTATACTCCACAGGAATAAAGATTATCAGGTCTTGGAAATAATACATGATCCTAGGAATGGTATCTGTCTAATCATATCATTACAGTATCTGTCTTTGCTGGGCAAATAGATGTTAATGACATGTTGAAGTATAGTTCAGACTTCCCATGACTATAGATCTAAATGCTGGATTATCTGCTGAAGAAAGGAAGGAAGTGGAGGTGATTTTTACCACATTCTTCCAACATTCCCCAATTTTTCATGATGTCTCCATTTTTTGAGATCCTGCTGGGAGGAACTGGACAGGATTGCCCCTCTCTCCTTCTCCAAACAGGAGCCTTCACTAAGGGCAGGGACCAATGAGACAACAGCTTTGCAAGCAGTATTCAATGGCCAAAATCCTGTTTCGTAAGTTATGCTTGCAGAAGGGTGAAGACATAATGGCAGGGGAGATGTCTTGTGGCTTGTCCAGCTCTCAAGTAATCAATTTCATTCTGTAGGAGCCATGAGATGGAAGAAAATCTTTGTTGTTGTTGTTCTGTGCCATCAAGTTGGAACCAACTTACAGTAGCCCTAACAAGGCTTTCAAGGTAAGTGAAATATTTAAGGAATGCTTTTAGCAGTTTCACTCCCCCCAGTAAATTTCCATGGCCAAGTGGGGATTTGAACGTTGTCCAGAGTCCTAGTCTGTCAATCTGTCCACTGCATCATACTTTGTGGTGTGGTGTAGAAATCTTTAATGATAAAAAAAATCACTGCCACTGGATGTATTTTTGGTAATTAACAACTTCCTTCTTCTGTCTCATGGCTCCCATGGATTCTATACAATGAAACAGATACTTGAAAATCTGACAGGTCATGATAGAGAAGGAGAAAGTCTTTAACTACAGGAAATCTCCTCTTGGTGGTGATGTCCTAATCGTACTGCAGGCATAAAACAGGCAACAGTGTTTCAGCTAATAAAATGTTTCTTTCCATAGAGTCATTCTTCAAGGCTGCTGTGTTTGTACAATCAATATGAAAACAAGATTTTTTTGTTTCTCTCCAGATTACCAGTCACAAACACAGGCAAGCTAATTTGCTATTTCTGGAGCTGCAAAATTTTGTTGAAGCATAATCAAACATTCTTTACTTTTTAGGGCAACTCGCATTATAATTGTGGAGCTGTTGCTCATCAATATCTGCCTAGAATGTATGCCTTCTCCAAGTGGAAGGATCCTTCCATTCTCAGAGGCCGTATCTGGTTTGAAGTCAACATGTGCGCAGTGCTTCACACCATACAATTGACAAGCATACAATTTTCCTTTCTGAAAACTTGAGTATTTTCAGACCTACTCAGATGGCTTGCTTCTCAGTTACCTGGAAAAAAGTGCAAAACCCAATCTTAATGCTCAACACAGCCAGGGAATATTAAGGATGCTACATATGTCTAAGTGCAAGATGCTTATTGTGATAGACTGTTGATCCTAGAACTAAACCAACCTGAAACAATGTAAACTTTATTTCTTGATAAAAAGGTATAAGTAAAGGTAAGCTACAGATAGGCTATAAGAAGGCATTTCTTACAAAGATTGTTCTGCAGTTCCCTCATTTATATAAAGCTACACTTTTGTAATGGCTACGAAAGCAACATGTTACTATGGCTCCAAGCAGTCTTCCTTACAGAGCAACCACAAAAGTCGCAGTGAGTTTTTCATCTGAATATATTCTAGTTATAAAATAGTTTAAACAGAGGCTGAGAAAACTATTATTGATGGAATTAACTCATTTCAGTGCTCCTTACTGATAAGATAAATGTGTCCTCACTTTAATGTACTACATGCTTGAGAATAACTTCATCCATGAGAAACAAAAATTCACTGGCAATAGATGGCTAACCTAATTGCAAACATTTGCTTGGCACGGCCATTGACAAAAAAAGACCTGTCATTTTGCTGTGAAAAGAAAGGAGGGGAGTGGGGAAAGGATTTATAAATGAAATGTACTGCATGCTGTTTAAAGAAATCTAGTGAATTCTAATGGAACTCAAGGAATCTTAATTATTCCACCACTATCCAGTGGTTAGGAAACGAATAACGAACAGAGTTTATGTATAGGACTGTTCATAGTGCTGCCCAAATTTAAAATTGGTATAATTTCTAAGGAGACACTGGAAATTAATTGGGACACTGGTTGATTCAAATTCCTATAGCTTTTTATGTACATTGTGTACCATGGTTGACCCAAAACATTTTGATGCCTGAGGCAAAGGACAGAATGGCCTCCTTTCCAGATACAAAAAAAACTAGTTGGCAACATCCCATTTCCTGAAATGTCCAAGCAGCAAAGAGCTTCAAATTAGCATGCCCTCTTCTCTCCCTTGTGTGGAACAGTAAAAGACTTAAACCTTCTGTAGAACAAACAACACTTCTTTAATGTGTCCAAACACTGCAAATATTGGCATGCTTTAGTCTGCTAAAAGGCAAGCTATCCTGGCTTGTTAACAAGTGGTGGCTTGAACAAACCATTTGTTAAGTTTAACTATAAGCACGAGACATGTATTGTTCCCAAACAGCAACAGATTATTTTAATCACATCTGCATACTTGAATGTGAGGGGCAAGGATGAAAGTTTGAGGCATGTGCAAATACATGCGTGTTACAGATTGTGGCGTAATGCATATTGTATATTGTTGTATATTGTTGATATTTTTATTTGCTATATGTATATGTTGTTGTATTTTTGCATGTTTGGAAGCCGCCTAGAGTGGTCATCTCGACCAGATAGCTGGGGTATTAAACAAACAAACAAACAAACAAACAAATGTCTGAACCAGAAATTAAAATTATTGTCAAGACATCTACACTAGAAAAAAAGGTACATCAAAATAAGCACTTCAATTATTCTGATTGGGATCAATATTCAGTTTTTGACCTTTTTCAGAGAATACCTTCAATCCTTGTATTTGAATAAAAGTTTATTTACAAAGTTCTCAACTAAAGTCTGAAAATTATGAACAATTTACCTTTAATCAAACTCCACCCCAAAGCCATATAGGTTGCACTTTTAGTAGAAGACATGCATCTGGTGAGGTTCTGCTGGCACCTAAAGAAAGGCAGTGGGGTGACCATTCTCATTAATTCTGTCTTCCTGCTGCAGCTGACTGAAAAGCTGCTCTGAAGGAGACGAATATCTTTCTAGGACAGCATGGGAGATTGTTCTGGGACAGTAGTAAGATATGGATAAGAACAGCAAAAAACCGCTGCCCTACAGCTGTCCCACTTCAATTAGAAAACTGAAGTAAATGCTGAAAATGAGAGCAAGAAGGGCAGGAGTAAATTGTCAGTGGGGCACATTGTCTCTTCTCACTCCAAGAGGAGTTTAACTTGGCCTACGAATAACAGGAAATTTAATTTCCATTCTCCTCTGGTGTTTGATTTCCATTCAAGGGACTGTGTGGTGCCAAACTGAACTAAAATGCATTTTTGGATTTATGACCACTGGTGCTTTTTATGCACACTTTGTGATGGAGCTGTTAAACTAGCTCAGCTATGGATATTAGGCTTGCAACAGAGATTTGTTTACCTTTTTTTTTGTTTTAGGGAATCAAAATTTCATTTTCTTTTACAGTTGTCATCAATCGTTTCATTAGTTTAAGCTGTGAACAATTATAAGCTGCACTTGCAAGAGAGGATAATAAAAAGTAATAGGGAAGCCAACATTTTCACTCTGCATCAGCACATACCATGCATAGTTACACAGACGGTCTTCGATCAGCATGCTAGTGGAAAAACTGATGTAGCCGGAGTAAGGAGCCTAGGGAAGGGCAATGCAGTAAACAGTTGAAAGATCATGCAACAAGCTTCTTACATGCACTGAAAAAAACCCACAGCTACTTAAAATGTTATGGTGTATTAGCAAAAGCCTTGAAAATCCACATGCTACAGTGTTGCTTCTTGGTAGACATGTGGAGTCTCTGATGCTCAACATAGTGTTCAGCATGTGGTGTAGTTGCTCCGAGAAGGCAAAGAGTAATCACCTTCCAGAAAACAGAGAAGGTATCTCATTAAAGCTGGGAGTATTGATTGATTTGCTCACTTATCAGATTACTTTTTACTTTTTCCAAGTAATACACCAATTGTTACCCATTACCTTCAGAATAGTACATTACTAAGACATTACTTTTGAGTGAATCTTAAATATACACACAAAGAAAGAGAGAACCAAAAAAAATAAATAAATAGCCAAGCATAATTTAAAACGACTCCCCAGACATTTCAGAAGTACTGTAACACGTGAATATTGTGTTTTAGATTTAAAGAGTCCTGTTTCTAGTTGTTAAATTATTTTGCAAAATGGATTTTTTCACATCTTTGTTGCACACAAAAAAATGTGTTGCAAGGTGGAGATTGGAAGAATTACATTTTTAGACTAACTCCTAGACTGTCTCAGCCAACACTGATGCTTGCTAGGAAATGTGAGAGGTTGTAATCCAAAAAAGTAACTCTTGCAGGTTCTGGTTATAGGTAATTGTGTTATTTGTAATGTGTTACATCCCCAGCTCTGTTTTTGTGTACAGTAGGCACTCTCTTCTCATAGAAGGAAGACCAACGTGCTTTGGGCTGTGTTCATAAATTTAATGTGGTACAAAGCAAAATAGAACTCATGTCTGGCACTGGATTACATCCATATATCATCATGAAAAATGTATTTTTGAATGAATGTGATGTCTGAAAGCATGTCAATGTGGCAAACATTTTAAAGAGTGGAAATGTATGCTCCATCTATGAAAAGAGCTGAGAGGGAGAGGAGTCTGGGAAAACAGACAGGTGCAAAATGCCAACAAAACAGTAAAGTTCCTGGAGAAATATAGTCTGATCCATCACTGACCTTAGTATCCCTGTGAAACAAAAAAATGTGTATTTTCCACTTAGTTATTCCCCCTTCTCAGTTGTTTGGTCCTCCTCTACAAGTTGTGTAAATGAATAATCCACCATGGACAACCATGATACATTCCCCCTTTTGGTGCACTTTGTTATAGCGTTGGTACTGTTCTTATTCAAGCACACATTTGTATTAAGATACTTGATTGGGAACTAGAGTGCTTGTATTTGAATGATAATTCAGCTGAATACTATAGGGACTTCAGAGCTGCATATGAAAAACAACATGAACTGTCTCCAGCCATTCCATTATACTCTTTGCTTCAAATATTACTTTCCGTGAATTTTAATGCCTTATGCATTATTTGAGCATATATGGCTTGTGACTTGTGGAGGCACTCCTCTGAAATACTGGTGTGAGGCACCTCCCATCCTGAGCTCATTTTTATCTTAAGTAACGGATTAAAATATGATCCTCTTCTTCATTGTATGAAGCATGGTCTCCAGGGCTCACTGACTCTGTCCCCAGTCCCTTCTTTTCCCCATTACCTGATGACAGTAATCCATTTAGGAATGTAACATTATAGCTTTCTTCATATCAACAGATGCTAGTGATGCCGATTACTGTCCATAATTTGTGCAAGAATTTTCCTTGGCAGCCGCCACCCTTATAAGTACCGGTGCTGGACTCCTGCTCAACTTTATCCTCAATCCCTCCTCTACTGCTGCCTGTTGCTTCTCCTGCCTTCATAAGAACATAAGGACATGAGCCGAGCCCTTCTGGATCAGGCCAAGGGCCCACCTAGATCAACTTCCTGTATCTTACAGTAGCCCTACCAGATGCCTCTGGGAGCACACCAGAGAACCAGATACCTGTCTCCTGATACCCCTCCCCTGCATTTGGATGTACCTTCTTTTTAAGCCTGGAGATTATATATCCCATCATGGCTTGTAACCTGCAATGGACTTTTTTCTCCAGAAATCTGTCCAATCCCCTTTTAAGGGCATCTAGGCCAGATGCCATCACCACATCCTCTGACAAGGAGTCCCACAGACTAACAACACTCTTTTGTCTGTTCTCTCTCTCTCCCAACACTCAATTTGAGTGGATGTCCCCTGGTTCTAGTATTGCGTGAGAGGGAGAGCTTCCCTCTATACACTTTATCCAGCCCGTGCATAATTTGATACGTCTCAATCATGTTCCCCCTTGGGTGCCTTTTCTCTAGACTAAAGAGCCCCTAATGCTGTACCCTTTCCTTATAAGGGAGGTGCCCCAGCCCAGTCTTCATTTTAGTCACTCTCTTCTGCACCTTTTCCAGTTCCACTATGCCTTTTTTGAGGTGCGGCAACCAGAACTGTACGCAATACTCCAGGTGCAGCCTTACCATCGTTTTGTACAATGGCATTATAATGTTGGCTGTTTATTTTCAACCCCCTTTTTAATGATACCTAACATGGAATTGGCCTTCTTCACTGCCACCACATACTGGGCTGACACTTTCATTGAGCTGTCCACCAGTACACCAAGATCTCTTTCCTGATCCATCATGGACAGCTCAGAACCCATTAGCTGATAAATAAAGTTTTGAGTTTTTGCTCCAATGTGCATTACTTTACATTTTCTTATACTGAGATGCATTTGTCATCTTGCCGCCCATTCTCCCAGTTTGGAGAGAGCCTTCTAGAGCTCTTCACAATCACTTCTAGTCTTCACCACCCAGAAAAGTTTAGTGTCATCTGCAAACTTGGCCACCTCACTGCTTATCCCTGTCTCCAGGTCAATTATGAAAAAGTTGAAAAGCACCAGTTTCAGCACAGATCCCTGGGGCACACTGCTTTTCACCTCTCTCCATTGTGAATATTGCCCATTCACACCTCCTCTTTGTTTCCTGATTCTCAACCAATCCTCAGTCCATTAGAAGACCTGCCTTCTTATCCCCTGACTGTGAAGTTTTCTCAGCAGCCTTTGGTGAGGGACTATAGCAAATGCCTTTCTCTCCCCATCAGCTGTATCTCTGTAACTTAGGGCCTTCTGAACTGAGGAATGGTTTCCCAGTTATACCTGTCATTGGAAGGCTAAATGAAAGAACTCCACATGGCAGCTGGAGAGCATTTCAAGTGGAGAAACTCAATGTACCTGTCATTGGAAGGCTAAATGAAAGAACACATGGCAGCTGGAGAACATTTCAAGTGGAGAAACTCAATGCAGGTTTGGGATAATTTTCTGCTACCTTGCACAAATGTTGGGACAGGAAGGTCTGCATGGGCATGAGGGAAAATAACTCCAATCCTGCGCAAGCTACGCCACAAAATTCCCAGACAGAGTACTGAGGCAAGGAGATTAAATTTTTATAGCATTTTTTATTCCTATGTGGTATTAGAAGAAGTATTGGTATTTACTGATATTCTAATAATTTGGCTGTGCAACTTGTAAAACAATTAGATGAAGATTCTAAGGAGCATGTCATGGATATGCCTCCCTGACAGTATTTTTACAATTTGATTTCCGCAAAATAGTTAAGTGCTCTTTTCTGAAAATCAGAATTATGACCAATATTCCTCAAAAGAGGTAAGACGTTGGAACAAGGTGGCACAGCAGATCAAAACATGGAGAGCAGAGTTCAAGCTGCCTTTTCCAGCATGAAGTCTGTGCGGATGGCTTGCAGACACCTGGCCACATGGGGCAAATATATCTCCACACTTTGCTTTTTCAGTAATGCTGTCATTTCCTTCCAGGTGTCTCCACATTACCTTTTCTCTGTCCCCAAACCTTTCCAATGATAATGGGTTGACATTTGTTTACTGGTGTTTATATGCATGTGATTATTTTAAAGAAATATTCTTCTAGCACAATTACTCATTAATAAAAACACTAAAGCTTCCCTCTCCCCTCTATAAACACTAACTGGTTTGGTTGTTGTAAGTTTTTGGGGCTGTTTGGCTAGAACACTGCCAAACAGCCCAAAAAACCCACAACAGCCGTTGGATCCCAGCTGTGAAAGCCTTCGAGAATACTCACTGGTTTACTTTTTCCTTTCGCAGAGGTTGCTGAATTTCCTTTACTGTCTGCAGCTTTCCTTCCTAATGAGGTAAAGGGTGATGTAGTCTTGATTAGGTTTGAAGTCTGAGAATTGTTATTATTGTTCTGGTTGCCACTCAATGTCTCCATGATGGACCGAAATGTTCCAAATGGCCGTTTCTGCTGGTCTCCAGTTTCCACGCTGGGTGGAGGCCGCTGAGGAACCTTACTCCGTTCTTTGCTCTTTTCCCCATTTAAACCAACCTCTGTTTGCTCCACTTGTACCACAGGCTCCTCAAAAGTCACTCTGAGTTTTGAATTTTGAGCAGTCCTACGCTTGGAAGATGGAGATTTGAGTGCACTCTTGGGACTTGTGGCCACTTTGTGAGTAACGCCGGGTTCAGGGCTGGACTGAGCGGTATCTCCCAATGCCTGGCTCTGAGATACAGTCCCACTCTGATACTGGGATTCATTATCAGGGTCACTACTTTCAGAAGTGGGAGAAGGGCTGTGGTCATCCACAGATTTTGAGGCTTTCATGCCAAACGGGAACCGGCGCCCTGACGCCAAACTGTGTCTCTTAATCATGAGGTGCAAATTCTCGGTGCTTTCTGTGTTTTCCACTATGGGCTGTGGCCTTGGCTTCTCTGTTCTTTTCACAGGGGTATTCTTCTGGTCTTCAGAATTATTTGAATCAGTATCTGACTCACTGAGGGACCGCTGCATGAGATGCTTCAGTCTTGCCAACTTTAACTCCTTTTTTTCCATAGGAATCTTCTTTATATTCTTGGAGGCATGAACATCCTGAAATTCTAGTGACAGCTTTTCCTGCATGCAGACATTCTCAGAGATTTCTTTCCCCAGCAGCTGACGCAGGATTTTATCAGGATCGTCATCATTCATCTTGGTTCGATTGTGGTGTGGAGTTCCTATACCACCAAGAATCTGAATCCCGTCGTGGGTGTTCAATTTACTTTTTGGTAGAGTCGAGTCATCTGTATCAGATGGTTTCCACTGAGGTTTGCCAGAAATAGGCGATGATGGTGAACTTCAGTGGGGAAAAAGAAAGAATCATTTCAATACAAGAGACCAGCAACAAGATTATACGGACAGAAAGTACAACACCTGGTTTTCCATTGCATATGTTTATCCTGCGCATCATATGGAATTTTTATTCACCTTGCCCATGGAAAATATATTACAGATTCACAATAATGATGCCATACATTTAAGCATGTAAATCTTTTTCTAGACCAAGTCTGACCTGTGATTTCCTTTCTTTGCTAAACTCCCCAGAAGGACCTTATGTGAAAGATCTACATTATATAGTGCTAACAGTGTGTCTAAGAATACGCGTAACTCAAGGAAAACAGAAATACCAGCATAAGCCTACCTACCTAAAACCTACACATCTATTTCCCTTCTTCTGTTTTGGCATGCTATCAAATTAAAATCAATGCACCTGCTTCCTAATAGTCAATCAGATTATTCAGTTCTACTAACATTAGTAAAAGCGATTAGGTCCCTGCCCCAGATTCCCCCAGATTTTGACATTTTGGAAGGCAATAGAGGGAAGGGAGGGAGGTAGAAACAAAGATTGGAAGATTACTGTAGGAGGAAGATTAGATAATAATAAAAAACATAAAATCCAGCATGGTGGTTAACTTCCAATGCAGTCCTTTCCATATCTGTTCAGAAGACATTTTAGAAGAGATAGCCGTGTTAGCCTTTGCTAGTACATCAGGCCAAAACAAAGAAAAAAATGTGAAAGGAGACAAAAACAGTGTCAAGCCTTCTTAGTCTTTAAGGTGCCACAACATTTTTGTCTTCTATATTTTTAATTTTCATAATGGAATCTTATTCAGGAAGATTGCACTCTGATATTATCATTGGAATTTTCATCCAACTAAGAGTGCTTAAGAGTGTAGCTGGAGTCAAAGAAAATTAATATATTCATTCAAGATAAATTGTACAAATAAACCAATAATGCTTAGATTTGCTGTATATGAGAAGACAACACAATTAGATAAAATCGGTGATGATAAAAGGGGACAGAAAACTATAGGATAACCATTTTCCTTCTGTAGATTTTTGCTGCATGTTTTACTATTTTTCCCCTCTGTGACTATACTGGCAGAAAATAGAGTCACAACTTGCTAAGAAGCCAAATGCCAGACCAGATGTCACTTTCCATGCTGAGAAACAGGACAAGCATAACTAAAATGAGTCCAGATTCAGGGTCTAAATTTCCATTTTAAATGAGACAAAGAACACTCCTTGATTCATAAAAGACAGGATTGGTTTCAGTTCAATTCTCAGACAAGTCACTTGAATTCATCTGTGAAGTAATTATGCTATAATTATTTGGTGGTTCTAGTCACCACAGAATTATGATTTATTAAAATACATAATAATTGTGTGGCATCAGGTCAATGCTGACCTATGGTGACTCTAGCGTTTTCTAGGTAGAGAATACACAGCAGTGGTTTATCGTTCCCTTCTTCTGAGGGCATCCTGGGACTGTGCATCTTGCCCAAGGCCGGTTCTTCTCCCTGGAGGCACAACGGAGAATCAAACTCCTAAACTTTGGCTCTGCAGACAGATAAATAAACCAATAGTTGGCTGGACAGTTCAGTGGTTTAGGTGTCTGGCTGCAGAGCAGAGGCTGGGAGTCCAATTCATCACTGTGCTTCCAGGGAGAAGAGCCAGCTTGGGTAGCCTTGGGCAAGCTGCACAGTCCCAGAGTGCCCACAGAACAAGGGAATGGTCAACCACTTCTGAGTGTTCTCTACGCAGAAAGCTTTGGAAAGGATTACCGTAAGTCAGAATTGACTTTACAGCACAGAATTATGATGATGATTAATTAGTGGCTTTTCTATTACTATGTTCCCTGTTTTTAAAAAAGCAAAAAAGGAAAGCGTGCTGCTTATATACCGCCCTATAGCACTTCAAGCACTCTCTGGGTGGTTTACAAGTTAACTATGCAGGCTACACATTGCTAACCCCCTCCCCCAGCAAGCTGGGTACTCATTTTACTAACCTCGGAAGGATAGAAGGCTGAGTCAACCTTGAGCCACTACCTGGGATTGAACCCCAGGTCGTGAGCTCAGTTTTGGCTGCAGTACAGCAGTTTTAACCACTGCGCCACGAGGCTCTTCACTACTGGTGATGACTGTGCCTTTCTGTTCTTTTTTGACAGAATATTAATGACAGCTATTTTCACTGATTCAGCACTTGTACTTCTCAAACTTGCCACTTTATGAAAGCTACTTGTGTCTTTTACCCAGTCTGGCAATTTAGAATGCCAACTGGGGGGGTGGTGGTACTGTGGTTTTCTAAACTGCCCCCCCCACTGCCTTGGATATGACTAGTTTTGATGGTACATGTCTTGCCTTAGAATGTGTTTCTGGGAGCTGGGGCAGGCGGCTGAGTAGCATAACAGTAACATGTAGAATCTGCCTCTTTAAGAGAGAGCCTTAAATGGCAGTTCTGTTCTGAAACAATATAGTTTGTTTAGCAGCCTAGGACTCTGTAAAAAGTTGTTGAGTCCAATGTGCTTTGCTGTTATTGGCTGTTTGTGCAATGGCTTTTTTTTAAAATCTTATCTTAAGTTGTTCAGTAAATACAGTCTCCTCCACTACATTGATGATGATGTGTCCCCTCATTTGAAAAACGAAGAGAGAGGGGAAAAAAACCGCTTATGTTTAAAGCAAAAAAGTAATGGTTGAAACCCTACCTCCCCCAGTTAAAAACAATTTAAACCAAAGAGTAACCCGCCTTTCTCTCTCAAATGTGGGGATATTGCTGTGAGTACTTTTCTTCTACTTTAACTTGCATCTCAAATAAACATACTGTGTCTTTATGTCTTTCTCTTCCTCTTCCACCACTTGCTGTCATGCATGCTGTCCGTTTGTATAAAGAGTTCCTGCCATACTGTTGTTCCTAACATGCATCTCAAATAAACAATACAGCATTATTCCACTAGCCATTCCACTCCCTGCACAGGATTCATTAGTTACCTATTGTAACAGGTAAATAGCAGATTTCCAGTGCAGAGCTAGATGCTAGTTTGATAATCTTTAAAATTGCAATCCAACTGATTCATATTTGGGGGAAGGAGGGACTATCTTGTTTAATAAGATTAGTCATAGGTAAGCAGAGGGTTTTTTAAATGAAAGAGTTGAACTCACAAATAGTTCAGTGGTTTAGGTACTGGCCTGAGGAGCCAGAGGTGAGGAATTCAATTCCATGCTGTGCCTCTACAGTTCTAAGAATTGCAGACCACCTCTTGTATTTACTTAATGTGGAAATCAATGTACAAGAAGAGTATCAATATGCCTGTATACTGATTGGGAATATATTGGTCTATGATCTGAGATTCTATCCCTGCTTTTTTCCCCTTTAAGTGAAAGTGATTTTTTCCCCTCCTCCTCCTTTTCTGGGTTATATTAATAATTCAGCAAAACAGGATTTTGACAAGGATTTCTGAGATAAACTATATGAAGCATTTTCTTTGGTGTTGCTTTTGCAGACTTTGCTGGAATCCCTAAATCATCTCACTCAGAAAATATGCCAAGTCTTCTTAATAGAAATGGGAATCTAAATACAGGTAAGTTCTCTGATAGCTCTGTGCTTGTAAACTTGTACTCCATTATTCACACTTCCAGGCACATGTAAGGTACAATGTATTTCTCCTCTTAATCCATAGATAGTTGACCCAATATTTTGAACACTTTTCAAGGTGTTACACAAGTTTACTTCCATGCTTCTTACTAATAAGTTATACTTAGTTCTTTATGCAAATATTCGGTCCAGATTGTATATGAAGTCTGTAGCCGAAAAAACTGCCATTTCTTAGCCAAAAACTATATATATTGTTTTTATAAAAATATATTTGAGGGGATTCTCTTCTTTTTGAACTTGTGCACTGCTTATTTAGCTGAAGTCAGGTAAACTCTTTGTAGGTTAAAATGTGTAACTATATTTATTCTTTTAGTGTTCTCTATTTATATTGGATAGTGATGGCAGAACACCCTTGATGGCCTGGGAGGCTTATTTTGTTAGCAATAGTCTTGAATTACTCATATCTTAAGATTGTTGTGGGCCACCAAAAAATCAGATTTCAGAGGTTCACAAATTTTTTCTTGTGATCATTATGAAGCACAATAAACCATGATAGTAAAGTGTGAGAGAGATTATTTTATTTAAAGTTATAAAACCATAGGGTTGTCATAAGTCAGAGGCAATCTGACAGCCCGTAACAACAAATGAAACCCATTTTTGTACTTGCAAAATTGGAAAGGTATGGATTTATATTACATGACATTCTGCTTCACACACCTCCACCCTTTCTTTTTGCATTAGGAAAAATAGGATCTTTAGCTGGAAGGTAGCCTTCCTATGTAGTTGCCATTTAAGGAATCAGACTGGACTGGAATCCTACTCCTACAAGCCAGTTACCTTGGGGAAGTTGGCAGTGACTTGCTCTCTGATTGCTGAGTTTCCAGAAGCTGCTGGAGTTGGTTTTGTAATGTCACACGTTCTACTGTTTGCCTGTAAGGAAATATTAAATTATTAAAGTTTTTTACCCTCCTTAAAGGAAAAGCTGTGAATGGATGTGATAAGAGTTAAAGGATAATTTTCACGCAACATCATTTTGAGAAGAAAGCCCCTGTTTATTTATAATTTAAGACTTGCACAGACACAGAGTGCATACAAATACTGAAATGCACAAAGGAGGTCTCTGTTCTGCAAATTGCCTCTAATCCTTCGGGAACACTGTGATCACTCTATTGTACCTTCTCAAAGCTGCCTGCCTTGTATACATTATTTATTACTGGTAGTGACTCCGGTGTAAATTGCAAGATTAGAATTCTAAGGAGCATTTTGCTTTAGCTCTGAGACTCCATGACAATTAGCTTACCTGTACCCAGCAAAACACCAAGCTCACAGCAAACTTCCCTGTGACTCCTTCTCAAATGTGATTTTGGAGGCAGATAAGCCTCTATATCCCCAGATACTTCTATGTCCCCATAAGAATTTGTCTGCTTGTTGGAAAGCACATACTATTCATCAGTATTCACCTGGAAATATACTAACTCAATAAGAGGTGCTTACTGACCACAGCTAGGGATAAAGGACAGTATATTTTATATTAAAGGCAGTGGTGTTGTCCTGCCGCCACCACCCACCAGCACTTCTCTAGAAGCCAGAGCCCTGCAGGGTCCCTTTCTATCGGCTCCATCAGATCCCCTTCCCACAGGCAACCAACCAAGACTCTTCAGACTGGCCCTCTGTCTAAGGCAGCAGGAGCCAACTCGTTCTCTCACTTGTCTGCCTGCCTGTCTAATTAAGATGGTTTTGGTGCTACTTGGCCTTCTGTGTCCTATTTTTTGTCTGTGTGCATGCAAGGTGTCAACTAAAACTGAGAAAAGACGCCATCCTCCAACCCACTCATCTGACTGCTGAGCCTAGGAAACAGAGGAGGGAATAGGGTAGAAGCATAGGGGAGCCTAGACGAAAACTTCCAGCAGCTGCCACTGCCCTTACATTTCACAAATTTGTAAGAAGAAGGTGGGGGCTTGTTTTCTGGGTAGCAGCTTCTCCCTCCCCTCGCCATGAATTCCTGTCTCTCCCTCCTCTACCCCCCCTCCCTTAGTTGTACCTAAATCATAATTGGGAGCATGTGAATATGTGTGTATGTAGACTCAGGAATGAAGGAGGTGTGCTCATGGAAAGAGCCGTGGTGTGTCTCTGTGTGTAAGTCTTGTGGAGAGACTTTGCATTTCTCAGCATGTGATTACACTCCTGTCTAAAGAAATTAGAATACAAAGTTTGTTCGATCGAGAGTGATCTAAATATCTGAAATAGCCAGAACTCTCTTTAAGAACTAAAGTCATTTTCATATTTATCTTTAAAGGGTCAAGCTTTTTTTTTGGTTACAACATTCATTTATTCATCATTCTTTTTATAATTTTAAAACATCTTTTTTACTTTTTCATTGGTAACAGTTATTTGGTAAATCTTTTGTTCTCATTTGCTCATTTCTGTATTTAGATAAATCTATTTATATTGTCACTTGTGAGGTGTGAAGAGTTTGTTTGCTAAGGGTGCTGGGTTTGGAACTCCTGCTCCCATCAGCTGTCTTGAGTTGTGTGACACATGGGAAAATAAAAAGTACCAAGTTATTGTATGCATGTATTCCCATAACACTGGCTATTGCCTCCCTCAAGGAAACATCATGTGGGAAACAGCTGTCCACAGAGGGACAGAAATACACAGCTCTTTCCCATTGTGAACCCTTCCTCTATCACCTTGCTTCTTTCTTCCTTCCCATTAAATCCTGAGTGATGTTTAGTTCTGTAGGGGTAACTTTCCCAGTTGATCCTCTCCTCTACTCCCCACCTCTGTTTAAGGCCTTGAGGCAATGCCAAAAATCATTTAAAAAGGTAACCAGTCCCTTATTATAGAAGTGGCTTTCACTTTCAGAATGACTTCCTCAGAAAGCAGGAACAAAACTGACAGCACAAGTCCAGCTCAGGGATATTTAAGTGGATAATTTCCTGGCTTCAAGGACATGTGGTTATTAACTCACTTCTCAGTTCTAGAGATTAGAACTTAGTCCAAAAGTATCCACATGGCTGAGGCCCACTGGCTGGTTGTGTTTGCTGAATTCAGAAAGAAGAAAAATCATAAAAAGAAAAAGCAGTGACAGCAGCTTATATTGACATAGTAAAGGGTCTGGAAAATGCAAAAATAAAAATTAATAATAATAAAAATAGGTGGGACACCAATATGTTATTTTGTAGAAACCAGATGCACTTCTATAAATTTTTTCCCTTCCTTCAATTTTCCTCCTTCCTCTTTCTCGCCTACACATTTCCTTTTACTATTTTAAAAATCACTCCCATCTTCTGTAAAAATTGGCTTGTAATGAAGTTTTTGAGAAGCCAAAAACCTCATTCACAGGTTCGGACCAGCTATTTCCACTTTTTTGGACTGATTGTTGCTGGTCTATCTGTTGCACTATTCCTTCCTCATTTCCCACTCATGTTTACATGACCACAAATGAAAGTTGCCTCCAGTGTAAATTATAACTGAATTAGTTATATGTATTCCAGGCAGCTGGTTCAAACTTTACAAGAAGTAAAATATAAACAATACATGAAATATCACAATACAGTTGTTGCGTTTTTTTCTATATAACAGTATTAGGAACACCATTTATTTCTGCTATTATGTATGATTTCTGTCAGGACACAAACAGGGTCCATGGGGCAGACTGGGTTGCTTCCCTTGGGTCCAACAGTAGCCTTTTCCAGCAAGAATGTCTCCTATCAGAGCAGCTACTTCTTGGTTTTCTGCCTGCAGAAATGACAGGTTACCCACCTGTAATTGTAGTTCTTCGAGTGGACCTCTGTGATTCACACCCTGGGTGATCCACGCCTGTGCAGACTCTCATAGGAAAGTTTTAGAGCTTCTGCGGTAGCAAAAAACACATTAGAATAGGGCCCCTCCCCCCTCGTATAAGTACCTTGGCACCAAGGCTCCCCTTTCAGTTGTGTCAACCACTGCTACATTAAGCAGAATGGTGTGACAGTGGGGAGGACGGACGGGATGTGTGAATCACAGAGGTCCACTCAAAGAACTACAATTACAGGAGGGTAACCTGTCGTTCTTCTTTGTGGCCAGGGCCGGACTGGCCATCTGGCAATTCTGGCAAATGCCAGAAGGGCCGATGGTCAGAAGGGCCGGTTCTTGCCTCAGCGCAGGGCCAGGCTGAGCCCCCCTCCCCAAAAGAGAGCGAGCGAGCGAGCGAGAGAGCGAAAGGGAGCCTTCCCTCCCCGCCCCCTTGCCTTGCCTTGCCTTGCCTCCTCCTCTTCCTCCTCCTTCCTCCTCCTCCCGCCCCTCCAGCTGGGGCATCCCCCCCAACCTCCCCACCCGGCCCAAGAGCGCACCCGCGCCCGAGAG